CTTAGTTTATTTCGTCTCTGACAATCTAACAGAGTAACCCACGCCTGCAGTCCATTCCCATTGATCGCTTTCTGATAGGTAACATTCAATGCTGAATAAGTCAACGTTTTCCGATCGTGCTACGACTTGTTTATCTGTTGTCTATCGTTGCAATAAGTGGCACAATTTCTGCAGTTCAGATGGTGCAATACAGAATCAGACATCGACTAACTAACGAGTGCTCACCGAAAGGACTTTATCAATCCATCCTCTCATATCTCACGGGAAATCCTTTTGTTCGTATCTACCTACTTGATATCCTCATTATTTTGTTCATTTAATGTTTTCCTTTCGATTCGAATTAACTGCCTTGATTTGGGCTTGTTTGATAGGCTAACAATTAACATCATGAAAAAACCAAATCCCAGGTGTATTGAAGTTGTTAACCATGTCGTCTTAATAACGCTTCAGTCTGATCTCTGGCCAGTCTTGTTCACCTTATACTGGTTCTCTCTTGCTCTCTCTTAGATATATATATATATATATATGTGTGTGTGTGTGTGTGTGTGTGTGTGTGTTCGCACCAGTAGCTTGACTACTGTATAAGAAACTTGGTCCCCTTCATCCAATTCGTTGGAACAGGGAGAAGGCAAATACTGCGAGATGTTACCATATCTTTCAATCTCCTCGCTCGCTACAACGTAAAACAATCTGGTATTTATACAAGAATGTTGTGATGACTAGTGGTTAAACGGACAATAGTCCGAGTAGCGGGGAAGGGATTAGGTCCACGATAGTCTGGATGATTGTGTCACAAACTTCTGCGCGCACAAAATTGGATTACGTCACTCCATTAACATCGCCTAACTTAACGCCAAGATCTTGGGATTCGTGTTACGTAATAACGGCTTGAACGACAAATGTGAGGCCACGATGTGTCCAGCTGTCGTGAGATGTTTTGCGATTGATGACCCTAGATTTCTCTTATCAGATTGACCTCTAAGACTGTGTTGCGTCATTAATCCTACCGACCACTTGGAAATGTGTTCAGATAACCGTTGTGACAGGGGCTAATTCGTTCCGTCGATGCAAGTGTCACCGCAACTGCAGGTGAACTGATAGACGACCTGTGAAGCAACATTGTGCGGCTGGTTCTGTTTTCGACTTTCCAAATGAAGACCCTGGGTATACGCCATCAATCGAAGCCGTGCAGCAAGAAACGTTCGACATAATGCCGCCTTGAGCTGTGGACGTACGTCGTACGTTACTTGATCATCCTTGAGGGCGAGTCGGAGGAGGACGCTGTTTTTCGGTACTTCGCAAACGGGATCAACCGGTGACCTTCGTTTGCTATGCACATCGATAAATTTCTCTGGATAACAATCATCCAATGACGTCCTTCGCAGAAAGATCTCTTTTTGTTAAAGGGTGTCAGAAGAGCAAATATTCCTGGCACTATGGAACGGATTCTTCACCAGATCTCTTTTGTTTGCTACGGAAGAAAAACTAGCAACTTTAAAGTATTGTCCACTCCATGTGTGTTCTTTCGGCGCAAGGTGCCATCTGACCGCATCTTTCTCAGACGGTAGCGCAGTAATCGCATGCAGCGTACACAGAACTGAAGAACCTGTGGTCTGGACGTGGCGTTTAACTGGGTTTGAAAGGTCGTGTATGTTGTGCCATCATCCGTTCGGTTCTGTTTTATGGTTATGAAGTTTTGAATTCGCTGGTCGAAGACATCCGCCGCCTGGAGGTTTTCGCCAATCGATGATAACGCATTCCTGGTCGGTTACCTGGATGTAAGTTGTCATGTGTTCGGTAATGCATTGATGAAAGATTTTCTATCGCATCGGTTTCAGTTCTAAATGTTTCGCTCGTTCGGCCCAGTTTTAGCATTCCAACGGTCGCCTGGCGAACCGCAATTTATTTCCAGCCACCACTTTGGGCTGTAGAAAAACACGTCAATAGATGACTTCGGAATGAGGCACAAAGAAATGCTCCGAGTGGTTAGGTTGAGTAGGAGTCTGTCGTCTTCCATGGTGGAAAAGCCATGCTTTGGTCAAGAGCAGTCTTTGATAACCTCGGCCGGCGACTAGCGCGAAAGGTCAACGGCCATAGAATGCGCTTTTTTTGGACATTTGTTACGCATTTCACCAAATAGTTTGCCATGTCTCCAGTAGTCTTTCGAGACAGATTATGGATGGTAAAAGGTAAAAGGTAGTCAAACTGGGATGTGGCATGCGGGTATGAAAACATTGACCGGAAAACATTAGGCTTCCTAGATGAGGAACCAATGGACTACAACCAAAGCCACCGCAAGGAAATGCGTGGTTAATGGTTGTCTCAACGTATCTGAAACTGAAACTGGGGTCGCTAACTGGATGATTATAGACACAGAGGGACATGGCAGCGACTTGACAGCAGTTGCGTTCTTTATACCAAACTAGAATTATTGAAAAACCTATGTATGCTCAGTTAGACCGTTTACTTTCTGCGTTGACCATGGAGGTTCGCTTTCTTTCTGTCTGTCTGAAATAGAAACAACCCCATGCACCTTCCCCATTCTCACTTACCTTCTGTGCTTTGTGCGGTTGACAGCGATCGGTGAAATTCACTTTACTGTATTCCACTGTTCGATGATAATGATGTTTCCCGGTTTGGGTTTTCATACACTCCTGCCACTTTTTAGCTTCACCACCTTTGGCTTTTTTTTACCACACGGTCCCTACCGCGACGAACTGCGTACGCCGTGGCAGTCTATTTAGTGACATGCGTAACACTTGCCCTGACCAACGTAATCTATGGTGGTCAAGCACTTATTCCAGTGTAGAAGTCATCAGCTATGCAGGTAGATTTATTCATTTCGACACTCACTTTCATTTAGCAATCCAAAGTTAAGGGAATAATTTTTTTTCTTTATGGAAGGGCTGTTTTTTTTGTTTTGAGACGTTAGGTTCCCATTATGATGGATAGGAGTGATCGAATGTACAGAATTGAAAACGCGGAGAAGGACTTCCAGTAGATTCTAACTATGACTGCTGCAAAAAACATACGAGTCAGTTCTCAGGTCCCTCCCCAATGGCCTATAAGCGCGGATTAGCTCGAGTATCGGAGCACTTCCGAAAATCGCCTGGATCCGTCTGTGGGTTCTACACCCAACTACTCGGATTTGCCCTAGAGAACAGTGACGTGAAATGGTGTCTATCGGGTACAGTTCGTCAGTAGATCAACCTTGGAACGAGCAATACCGACCTAAATGAGTTTGTTAGACTCAGTTTTCTATAAACTATCAATTCACTCTTACGACTTTGGTAACTCTCTAAACCTACAGTTAATCTCTTACACTCAATCATCGGATCTACTTTTGAGAGAAGGTTTTCATTTCTCTCCATGTTGTAGTTGTAGTTCTGTTTGACACGTCACCCTTCAACACTTAGACTTATGCGTTCATGTTTGGTTGCCTTGAGAACCTTCCCAAAGTGTTTCATAATTATGACTTCAACTCCACCACTGTCACCTTTTGTCTATCGCGCAATGTGTCGTTCACAAACCTTTGGAAACCATTTGGGATTTTTCTGTGTTAATCCTAGACACACCCTACTTAGGCTAGGTGAACCATTCCCAGGTCAAACCCATTCTCACACCCCAGTCCCGAAACAAGGTCTCATGTAATGCACCTTAATTTTACGCACAGTTTTTTGCGTTTACAATTCACCCAGTAATGTTTTACATCTTTCTCCCACGTATGAATTTCCTTGTGTTCCGCGCAGCGCTCAATCGCGATCCTGCTCCACGTTCTATCCCGATCGTTCAGCGCACACCACTCGTTTTTCCGACAAGAAAGTTGCGACCGCTATTTATTGCAAGTAAGTAGTCTGCTTATTTATGACTATCCGCGCATGTTGTCTGGTGCGACCAGATCTTGTTTAGCATCCCCGATGAACTAACTACGCGATACCGTCACAGTATGTCGTTTGGGTCTCGCGAGTACCGGGAAAACGCATCCTGGTCCGAGCTTGTGATCAACTCTCGTCGGTATAACGTTGCATGCTGACCTCATTGCACCGATGCGTTATATCACAATCACATATGACCTCATGTGTTGCCAATCAAAATTAATCACAAAACAAGGCCAAGCACATAGATGAGGCCAGCTGTACTAATTGTGTGCAGACTAGGCACGTTTATTTCATATATCTACCTCTCTGTGTAGAAATATGGCTTTGAGTTGTGAATTACATCACTGACGTGTGCGCCCAAATTGCACTAGTGAACAGGTGCATCAGTATTTCCGGTTCACCAAATAGTCATATCCTTAAACGTTCAGATACAAATTTAAGCTTTACCATTGAAACTACAATCATAATTCAAAAGTTACTGATATTCGCCACGGATTTTTGTGTAGCTTGAACCCAGCTCTGGCTCACAACCACATAGACACACAGCGGCTCTTCCCGTTTGTTGCACACACACCACGGACAGAGATGAAATGCTCTATGGATAGCCAAATGGACCCAATTAACAGTCAATTGTTAATTGATCTGTCAGTTGCAGAACAACACACTTTCCCTGGGGGCTGAGAACTGCAAGGAAAAGCAGTTGCGCATTTTACAATCAACTGTCAGGGTTGCGATTTACTCACGCGCGCTTAGGCACGCATCTACAAGCTGGCCAACAGACTGGCCTGGAAAATCTTGTGATGCCAATGGGTTTTCCAGTTTTTCGTGGGGTGGGAAACCAAAGCTCTGGTGATTGTCTATATTTTTTTAATGTTGATACTACCACCAGGAGCAAATCAGAGCTTTTAAGAGTATGATAACTTGTCGTCCTGGAAATGCAGATATACCTGTACGTTTATTCGATTGTTTCTCACACCTTTTGTGCTACTTACATACTCTCGTAGTTTTTGTTCAATCTTTGTTTGTTTTTCTTATGCTCACTCTTTCAAACGAATAATCCGTTTATGAGAGCAGTCCGAATCATCCAAGCGTTATCAAGATTCGTTCGCACACCGTGCTAATAATCTGTGATTTATTTTCTTGATTTCACTTTGCTCTCTTTGACCACGATGCTGCCCAATCATACTATTCTGCAGCTCATCACCGACAACCTTGCAGCTGCTTGTCGTGGCCACAGTTTGTGCGCGGATTTAGTGGAGGCGGCCTCGTGCGCTCTGGTCAACATATTATTACCACAGTCTCCTATTCGTCAAGTGAGTATTCCCGATTTCCCAGGAATATCGGTTTTTCGCGAACTGTTCTTGTTGCTCACTACGATGATCCATATTTGTGATTCTGTTTGCCTTTCGCAACGTAGTAACATCAGCACACACACACACACACACTAGCCCTATATCAAGTCACTGACCCTGTATTTGCCGCAGTTCCCGTCATTTAGGTTAAATCTGTCATAATTTTTTCACACGTGGCTTCATTTCTATCCGTTCTCGTCGTTTCGCAGCGTTCTGCCGTCTTGCACGTTTTCGGCACTTACGTTTTATAACGCTAGTTTTTTGCGTGCGCTATTACCATCTTTGTGTGTTGGTTTGTTGATAGCTGTTTTTACATGCAACCTATTGTATGATGTTCACGGCCTATAGTATTGTCACCGTGAAATAAAGTCGATTCGGACAGTATTTTCAAAACCATCGAAGTAAAAGTGATTAGTCTGAAAGCCTAACTCTGAAACTTCTTGTCAGGTCAGAAGGCTTGACAAAATATGTGTAGATGTCCATTTTCTTTTCCTTCCTTTAAAGTGACCCACAACTCATTTGACCGCACACGTTCGTAATTTTCTCGTGAGTGTGGGGGATCGAAACTTGAAGTTCACTTCACTTTCGCGACACAATGATTTCATTGATTAACCCAATAGTGCTGGTTTTCAATTGTGTTTTTGCGGTAGTCGGCATGTGTCGAATTCTCTTCACAATGTATCCGTCTGGCTTGGTCCCCGCATACGGGTCCGTCATCAATATGACGTACACTGTCTTCCAGCGAAATTCATCCCCTATAAATCAGCTATTTACCTTTGGCTCCACACAGTCAATTTGAAACATTCATCTAGACTAACTAAATTGCATTTTTACTTGTCACGGTTTAGATGAACGGAAACCAGGTTTATTATGAAGGTACACAGATACCTACCCGTCACATTCATTTGTTTTTTTTTATGTCAACGTGATACTGAGAAAAGTGAAATTAGCCTGCCGTGGATTCGGAATGTGAGAATCCGAGAGATCAGCAGATCACGAGGTTTCCAAGTAGTTTATTGTTCCAAGATGTTTGTTGAACAGATTGGCCAATGTGTTCAGGGTGAAGATTAATAGGAGTCGATCATTTAGATAGGTAAATCAGTATTTTACTTATGCACGCATGTTTATTGAAGACGTGTTTGGAAACATCTTTGAGCCTAATGCAAGTGAAATGTTGGCACCACTAATACCACGTGATGGAGGATCAGTACACTTATGGGGCGTAATCTGGTGGTAAGATTGGAACACGCTGCTCTCTCTGGATGTCATCATCAACGATTACAATGCCCTAGAACTCTTGGTTATATATGGTTTATCAGCACTGCATACCACTGAGACGATTTTCAGCTCCACGATATGTTTGCACACCGCCACCTTGCAACACAAAAAGTCCAGTTGAGTTTGCATAACCTTGCACTGTCGTGCGAGGGATTCGTTTACTGTCTTTCAGCTGATCGATCGGCCTGCCAGTGAAGAATGAGTAATTGGAAGAAATTCAAGTCAGCACCACAATCAAAACAAAGAAAAAACAGATCAACTAGAACTGTGGATCTGCGTGTGAGTGGTGCCTGACTAGCACTGTTAAGGACACTCACTGGTATCACTCATTGATTTGGTTGGTCACATAATTCTCAACCAGGAGACTTGGTATGACCCATGTGATCAAAGGCCTCGGTCAGGGTTCTTTTTGTCCTCATTACAGGTGTTATTCTGAACCCTTTTAGCCTTATTCCATCCCGTACCTGTGTCTTGGCAAAGATCACACGCCTGGAAAGCCTGTCCGTAGTCATGCGTAACGCATGTCGTGGACAGCATTGATCGTGAAGCCAGAACTTCATGACGGTGCATAACTGCAACGTGGACTCAGTCTTCCGATTACAACCGAAGGCACGCCCCAGATGTTTCAATTTTGCAAATAACAGTCGAGCCTTTCGTTTCGGTTACGACACATCATCCGTGATGCGTTCGTCAGATGATATATTGCCACCCAAGTAGCAAACTTACTCCACTTTCTGTGCGTTTTCTGTATTTTGGGTTAGTTCGGTAACGGAACTTACACAGTTCCGTATCAACTGTTTACATTTTAAAGGTGCAAAATGCATACCAAATCTAGGTGCGCTATCATACAAAACATAGAGAAAAGCTCACAACTTATTCGAACCTTCTGTCAACAGTATAACCAACCTCGCATTGCTTGCACCAGTGCAGCTCTAACGTACATACGCGGTTTTCCGTGGTAAATCAGTTGAAAAAGGACCGTAAGTTTCAATGTGGTTTCAGCCGTTCATTTACACAGATCGAAATAAATAAATAAACAAACTTCTCGAGTACAGAATGAGAGAGAGAATGGATACTAATTGGTTGGATGGGCAGACACCAGCAGATTGGTTGGATGTAGCACACCGTCAACATCCACTATCCCCCCCTTCAAAAAATAAAAGAATTACCATATGATGCTCACATGTCGACCTCCCAGCGCATCAAATAGACCACACACTTTTTCGTTCTCACTGGGCTTCATTAGCACAAGACTGCCGAGTGTTCCGCGGCTCAGTGACGCGAAACCTCAGCGGTCCATGCCACGTCTTCAGGCCTGGTCGTTTCAAGATCCCCTGTCCATGTGCCCCAGGATGGTACCGGTTCATCTTCCACGTACAGCCAATGTAATGAATCAAACTTCATTGAATACTGCCAATGAGAATATAAACACAGTACGTAAGAATGCCTAGAGTAGACAGGAATGGAACCGTATCAATGAATAATTTCATTGTCAAAATTTTGGATACCATCAGTTGTGAGGCTCTGAATGCAATAGAATTCAGCAAGTGGCCTTGTGCTCCTCCGGGGCCGAACTTAGGAGGTGATCTATAGGATGGTCTTTAGCAAATTTCTTACTCATCTGCAATGCTGCAACTATCTACTACGAGCCCGATCTGATACAGCTGGCTGGGGTTTTCTGATCAAATTTTTGATCGGGCGCTTGCATGGAAAACCCATCATCCGCAACTCAGTGTGAGTCGTACAAAGTCAACTGCTAACCGTTACGTTGACAACTAGGTGGAGAATGGAGAAATAGCTAGAGTAGATAGAATCCTACCGGGTCTTTAAGCTGTAACTGTTTTTGTTGATTGGCAGATATGCTTTATTTAGGGACACGAGATATTTCGCATAAATGGTGTTATATTTATTCCACTGCTCACCTCTGTGAAAGGCGATAGAACGATTTGTGAGTACTGTAGAGGAGTCATTTTGTTCAACCTTTCCGCAAAGATTTCCTGCCTGCTGCTACTCAAACACGTACGGTGTTCGCACTGGACGGAATGAAGTTGATCAAGACGGTGTTGACCAGACATTCGAACTAGGCCGAATGCCGGAACACTAATGCAAATTCCAGCAGCCAACCTCAGCTTGCTACGTTAATTTCTGCATTGTTTTTGGTTCGATCAGTTTTGAATTCCTATGGGAATTAGTAGAGTCTACTGGAACGCCTACCAAAGTTTCATTATTGTATACTTTTGATCTACAACTGCCCTGTCAGGAATCTTCCGAATTTGCAGTTACTTCTGGATCCAGGTTGGGCTACCCACTTCCACCGGTTGTATTCAACTTTACCATCGGTTTAGAGTTTGCGGATTCGATCGTTTTCAGTGGTTGTTCCGTCGCGCGTTTATTTAATTTAAATCTCAACCGAATCGATCTTTTCGCATTGACCATCGGTCTCAAAGTCAATGCAGCGACCCCGAAAACCTCCTCAGCTTGTTCAAAACGAAATGCTCGTCAGCTGTTCGTCAAGAACAAACGAATAGCGAGTTTACCGTCCTCCGAATATCTCATTTCTTTCTCAATTGATTAAGCAAAGAATCAAATAACGACGAGAATCGACACGGTACGCAGAGCGTTCCTCTACCGATATTGCATGCTCCAAGTCCGCAGTGAGACTAACCTTTCAATCAAGATTTACGTCTTTTGTTCTACTGTCATAGGTGTGAATCATGATCTATACGAGTTGGGAACACCAAAGGTTAGAGTTATTCGACCACCGGTGCCCACGGCGTATATATTGATCATAGTGGGTGGAAAGAATATTCAGTGACAGAATAACAAATCAGTACTATCTTATTGAACAATGGTCTATCTTCTTCCAACGCCATCGACTTGAGTGTTTCGGACGCATGCTACGACATACGAACACGATGAGATCCTAGCAAACATTGTACCTCATATGTCGTCCCGATTAGTGCTTTCACCTA